CTCAGTAATGATTACTGTGTATCTGGACGGACTCTGAAATGTAGAGAGCAGAGAAAATCATCTCCAGAGATCGTGACATGGCAAGGGTGAGGCCTGAATGAGCCGACTCAGTGATTGGGAAGTCTATGTGCACCTGTATGTGTGTTTCATACAATAGAGGAACTAGGCTGAATCTTGTATATCTGTGTCTTATCTTAAAATATGTTCACTAGCAGATCAGTTAAGCACAGCTTATCTTTTTGATGCCTGCAGTGTTTTGTAACACACTTGAAGAGGCAACACTTCTTATGGAAACAAAGCACATTCATTTGATGTGAAGATACAATCTGTTCTTTTTGACAGTCAGAGACATTAGATTTATCATCTTTGATAGTAAATATTTGAAACAGTGCGATGTGAACATGTTTTAGAATTATGGAGGCAAATACTTTGTCGCAGAAAAATACAAGTTTACAAATGTCTCATATTCAGTATTGGACCATCTGTACACTCTTCTATGCTTTGACAGTCAGCCCAGGAGGAGTGAATGACTCATTGCTCCCTCCCATAAAGGATAAATTGCAGGGTTTATGCAGGTGAATTTGCTGAATGTTAAGATGCAGCGACGATGATCAGGTTGTTTCCTCTCTACCTCAGGGGGACCAGTGAGAGCTGGGGTTTCATTCTGCAAGTCAAAGATACACATGGTGAGACCTAAAAGCTGAACAGTTAACTAAAGGAATGAATGACGTTTTTCTATGTCTGGTCATGTTTTCGAGGACGCGGGGTTGCAATGGAAGGACATGGTACTTCAAAAATCTTGGCTTCACCCCTGGCACAAACAGACAACAGTGACGAACTGACAAAGCTTTTTTGGGTAGAACTCACACAGCACACACTAATGTGTATTTAGACAAAGAATGTATTCACCTCAGTGGTGACTTGTGAGGTGCAATGCAGTATGAGACAACTGACCCAGTCGAGATAAAATCATACTTTAGAAGCCTTTAAGCCTCTGAACTCTCACACAGGTGTTTTCAATTAATCTGGCTGATGAGACATCTTCTCAGGACTGTGTGGGCAGAGACTCATTTATTGACATCCTCCTGAGTCTGTTGGCTTTGTTGCACCTGTAAGGGCAGGACAACCTACAACTGTATCAGTCTTATTGGTAGATGGAGATTTGTGACCTCAAAAATTCCCACCAAAGGTGAGGCCCACCTTTAACCTAAGCAGACATCTGATCAGCCAGTATAACTGAAAACACCTGTGTGGGTGTTCAGAGGCATTATGTATTGCAGGTATTCATGTCATTGTCTCCTAGCCCCGCACAATTTCATTTATTTGGATTTATCACTGAAGAATTTAAGATAATAATGATGTTGTTCCCACCTCTTTCCAACAGTACCCCGCCCACTTCTGAACTTCTAGCAAAAACACCAAGACAGCAAGATACATGATGTGAAATGGTTAAAATTCTTGTGACTTTAGTTGAATAGGTTTTTTTTCGGGACCTTTAACATAGTGAGTAATGTTCATTCAAACAGTGAGAATGGGCTGCAAAGCTTCCCCTGTTTTTCTATCAATATCACATCGACTTCTGTGTCTTCATGTCTTATGCAATTACCATCATTGATAGTTTGGGACTGACGCGACCTTTAGTTGTAAATGCAATCCATTTTCAACAGAACAGAAACACATTTAAAGCTCACCAGACACACACACACACACACACACACACGTAAAGCACAATGCCCACACAGTTTGAGATTCATAGCTAAAAATAGAAGTAGACAGGAAGGTGTCTGGGATTATTTTGGTCATTTATGACTTAATTAAATGTTCAAACCTGTTGTACAGTATCACAGTTTTGTCGAGTGTTGTGATATACACCAAATAGATAACCATCCACTATATAGGCGTATTCTCAAATCTAGTCTGACACTGTTTTCATTTGGGCCATACACTTCTGAAGTATAAATAAAAAGTATTAATAAAAATGTATTTCTGTCTTATTTAAGTAAAGGTAAGCCAACTCATGCAACTATTTTCGAAGGCCTTCAACCCTGCACATTGTTTTCAGAGCATCACCCACCCCGATGCTGTCATACTTCACAGAGACTTTCCTTAACGTTTGCTCTTTGAAGTTCAAGAACCAAAGGAGAAAGACCTTTAATGGGAGTCTGTTTGAAGACAGTGACTGAATGTTGAGTGTAAGCAGCCGCAGCACCTCATACTTCTTAGTCTCCATCATCTCCCTCACACAGATGATTAGGTGTGCGGAGACCAGAACTGATGTGAAGCAGGAGTGATTGAATCAAATTGACCCAAATGAAAGAATTGATCGGCCTCACTATGAGGTGTGTGAAAAGAGCGGCCTAAAGTCTCTGACATTGATCTATTAGGATTCTTCTCAAGTTTGCTTGTGATTCACTGATGCATTGTTCGGACAGCTGCTTCATTGGGGGGGGGGGGTAGGTCGGTAATCTTTATTGTGTTCCTTGGTATGTAACAGAGTGTATGAATTGAGCTTTTGTATGTTTTTAGTATCAACGTTGGTCAAGCCAGGTTAAGATTTGCAACTAGGTTAAGCCAGGTGTAAGTAATTCAGTTACATGCACGTTCACAGCTTTCGTCAACAGATCACAAGGTTGATCCCATATACCTGTGGCATTTTAATGCTGGTTGATAAAAATAAGGCAAAGTACATATATAAGCACATGTAATAACTGTAATAACCAGCTTTATCTGTTTTTGTGAAATAGCCCACTGCTTGGCTAAATAAACCAAGCTATACTCATTAAAAATTAGCATTGGCCAAAGGACAATTATGAAGTTATAATGTATTCTTGTAAAATTTTGTTTGTACAAGCTGTTGTGACAAAACATCCGTTTATCTGCCAATATGGCTGATTGACGATCTGCAATCGGTGGCAAAAACGTGATCGGGTCAAATTAAATCATTAAAATATTATATACCTTTAAGTTTTGTTATAAACTTTATGTTATTCTTTTGATTTCGACCAAAGTGGTGGACCACCCGACTTTGCCAATATAGAGCCATACTACTTTGATTTCCCTTTAAACAGGTATTGGGAAAACATTATTTTATAAAACAATACCATTAAGTTTTCAAAGCAATACACCAAACGTCGACATATGATAATATTTCATATTTTCCCAGTTCTAATGAAATATGCAGTTTCATTATTGTTCGTGTTGAGCTCGTGAATTGACACCATAACTTTGAGATATCTTTGGACGAGCTGACATTCTTGAAGAGATACCTGAGCAGGTTAACTCATCGGTAAGCTCCATGCAGCTTTAAAGTTTACTTTCACAGCTTTTCTGCCTCTTCGGTACCTTATATGCGTTCATGTAAATTGGCTGCGGCCCTTTTCTGACTTTGACATCGTCTCATTGCATAAACATGAGTTGTATGAGACAAAGATACACACAGAAATCCGCTTTGGAAAATATATAAACCTTCATTTTATTTTTCCCACTTAAACCTGAAACACACAATGCTGTTGGTGCATATAATATACTGTCATAATGAGAATATCTTTTGAAATCAACTACGTTATTATTCATTAATTAGATGAATCAAACAACCCCCAGGCCCTTCAAAGTTGTGGAGGAACACTGCACAGTGTGAGTGTGACATCTGCAGCCTTACTGGTGCCAGACAGCTCGCCTCTTTGATCCAGCTTCCTTATGCAGAGGGAAGCTGACCTATCATGAAAGCAGAGATGTGCTGCGTTCCAGCTTCCAAAAGTGTAAACACAGATATGTAGTCAAACAGCTGGTTGAGAAAAAAATAAGATAATTAGGACCTCTTCTTTGAGGAAAAATACCATTATATCTCTTCATGGTTTACCAACACTTCACTGGCCGTTATTAGAACAAATTAAGCTTCTGTTTTGCTCCTCCCTAATGACAGTTTTCCCTGGAAGCTTTTTTAAATTTTTTTTATTAGAGCTTCCCATGTCCCCTCCTCACTAATCCCTTCCTCTCTAACTTATTGCCTTATTTTATGCTGTTTTCGCATTTCTTATCGTCAGGCTTTGAGGTTTATATTACAAACACCGCCACAGTAAGTGTGTGTGATAAGGTACATATTTAGAGGAGTTGATATTTTCTCATGTTTAAATCATCAATTTTAGAGAGTATTTAAATATTAGATGACAGTTTACTTTGAAGTGAAAAGCTCTTTCTGGCTTTTAAGACATTTTACATATAGTTAGTCATTAATGAAGTAGGCTTTAAACAATATTACACATGCCTTAGGCTGACACATTTCCTGGAGTTACTTAAGAAGGAATTGTTACATTATACAGTAGAGTTTGCACTTGTTGCATGCGACATTTCACTTGAGGCTGAAAAATGTAGGTATAAACAATATACTTGAGGAAAGGAACAACTTCATAAGTTGGCTATTGCACCTTATACTAGGAAAAGAAAGCACACATACAACTCTGAACCCTTACCAACTAGTCACAATCCAGTCCCTCTCAAAAATTCAAATTAATATCCTATAAATATAAAATTCAGCTGACATATAAGGAATATTAAACCTGTGACCCTGTGCTCACTTCTCAAACTAAAGCTACAGATTGACTCTCGGATCATTTGTTTCTCTGAGCTGTACCACCTAATCTGAATATCTGCTATTGTACTGGCACCTGCAGAAAGAGCAAAGGAGGAGTCCAGCTCGAGTATTAGTGGTGGTTACCTTCAAAAGTCAAGGTTCATCCAGATACTATATCAGCTTTGTTTCATGTCTCACTCTCCAGCCACTATCTCCTTTCCCTGGTGTGTCTCTCTCCTCATAACCTCTGCCTTTAATTCAGTGCTACTCTTTCCTTTACCCCCCCCCCCTCTCTCTCTCTCTCTCTCTCTCTCTCTCTCTCTCTCTCTCTCTCTC